CAGTGGCTTTTGATATCGAAATTTGAATCGTTTTCATAATTTTCAATTATACATATCTTGCTTCAGATAAATAATTAAATAGCAACCTCGTCAAAGCATAATTATTTCCAGTCATACAGTCCTATTATAAATCTGAATTAAAACTGTTCACAACGTTTAGTCGCAAATGAGTGGACATATATTTCCATTGGAATAATACGAGCCAATAAATTTACAATCCAATCTGACAAGGAAGTGCTACTGTCAACCAAGAAATTTATTTCATATAAGTTCGCAGCAGCCCTGTTATCTGGTTAGGTTACCGCTTAATAAATTTATTATTTTGAAATTGAAGTGCTTGCATATCGATTTTATTAAATTCAAATTCATTTTTCAACAGCCTGGTTTGCATGGTGGTACAGCATACGAGCAATGTATCATCCTATGTGAAAAGCAAGGTTGTTAGGATTACATGAACACCAAGTAAAGGAGTATGAAACCATTTGAATGCCAGTAACCTCAAGTACTAAGGCATAATTTTGTTAAGTGTAAATGTTACGCTGAAAACAGTTTAACTAATTTACCCACGACAAAAGTTTTTTAGTTGTTTAGAAGAGGTGCTTACTGCTTAAATAATACATGGAGTAGTTTAAAAATTTAATATAATTATTTCGACAGGACTGATGAAGATGATGTGACAATTAGACTGTTTCTCTATTGTAGTAGATATGCTTATGTTAGTCGAACATTAGGCGTTACACAGGACTATCTTGCGTCGTAATGAATTGTAGCTATTATAATAAAAATATTCATGATAAACAGAATAAGAGACCACGATCAGTGTCGAATCTCGAAAAAAAAAATGTGGCAGAATAAAATCAATATATGTAAACTTATGGGAGTCAGACTATTTGTTTATAAAATGAGTCTATCTTTTTTTTTTTGATCAGTCATGCAGCCAGTCACAAAATAAGTTAATTTCATCAAAATAGCTATCTGGATTTAAAAAAAAACATGTAGACAGGGACACACTCTTCACGCCACTGGGGTCTCAGGGCAAATTTAAGTAAGTATCATTCAATATCAAATTCTTCTGCAATTGCCTGAATTCCAGACAAATATGTACCAATCCTGAAATTGGACATAGGCAAATTGCATCTGCACAGGTGTCTTTGCAGACCAGGTTAACCCATCCTGCGATAAGCGATGTTTATACCAAGGATATTATTGTCTTTTCGAAAAAGGTGAAACATACTTGCACGTCTGGGCCCGACCTCTCTGGCTAGAAGTGGTGTAACTCCTTATTTGAAGATTTGTTGTGCCGTGCTGTATATGACCCAAAAAACTACAGGCTGATGAATTTGTGATTTGTAAAATATTCAAAAGCCTACTGGACATTAGTGACGCATTAGGAAATGAAAACTTTTTCTATGCCATATTAGTTGGCTCTGACTACGTTAACTCAGGTCATAGAGGCTTCTTGGTAAAACTGGCCAGGTTGACGTCCTGAAACCTTTGCTATTCCTATTTTCTATCAAAGACTTGGCTGGGTCACAGTTCGGCTGGTTGTGCCTAAAGAGAGACCTGAATTTTGTGTGAAATTGGGTTGTCGTAAATAGAATGCATTTGAAACCGAATGAAAGTCAACTTTTATACTTTGTTAGAAGAATACTTGAGGCATAAAATGAAGACAGTTCTTTGCCGAGTTCTAACTTCCCTAAGTATTTTTAGGAACTTTTAGTTTAATATGAGTTGGGACCTCCCCAGTACCCAGGGCATTGTTAATTAATGTATTAATTAACCTTGTTAATGTGTCACGCACGCCAAGCCCTTAAATTTGTTATGAAAAATTTGGAGGAGAGAGCTGCGACAAGGTTGAACGATTATGAGATTTGGAATATTGTTGTTGGAATTGGCACCGGCATCAGTCAGGACCAGCAAGTGAAATTGAAGGGCAGCAAGATGATATTCATCAGGAGTTTCAGTACTGGCTAGGCCATGCAACATTTGGTATAGAGGCCTCTCAAGTCCCGGAAAGAGTTTTTCGTTAAATTTTGTCCAAGAATTCCTTGAGAATTCCTCATCAATGGCCCTTGAGGACCGCTCATTTAAAATTGAACTGCTACTATTTCATACAAATCTCGTTCTGCATTCCTTCCTTGTTGCTGGTGTCAAGGTCTGGAATGCTGTAACTAGGGCGCATTTGACCAAGTTTTAAATATTTATCAAGTGGTTTCATATTTAATTTCATATATATTTTCTCTCTCTTTCAGTTTTTCTTACGGATTAGACATTGCAATGTCAATATAGTTGATCCAAAACTAAATCCGTTGCACGTAACAATGTGTCCACTGGCAAATATAATATAAACGCAGCTGGTGTCATTGATGATGAGCAACGGATTTACTTTTGACTCGACTGCCTGTGAGCCTGTGTTGTGATCGTTATAAATAAATAAAACAATATTTGTTAGACATTTTATTTAACATCGGTGAATTTTATTGAACAAGTAATTGGCGCTACATCGTGGGAAATGTGAAATATTGAAATGAAAAGTTGAAAACTACCGTTCAAGCATTGATTTCCTTCTTGATTATTGAAAATGCTTGGTACTGTTAGGAAGCTGTTGAAAAAGGCATTAATGTGCTTTCCTTAGAGTGAAGAATCCATTGTTAATAAATCCGCTACCGTATTTGTTGGCTTAACACATAGCGGTTACCTGGGCTTCTAAATTATTACTTTTGTATTTTCGCAATAGCCACATTGAATTTTATAGTTTGGACTATTTGAAGGATAATTTAATAATTATTAATTCTTGAATAAAAAATAAATTATAAATCTGAGTTTATTATTATCCTATTTTTCCATTATGCTTTCGTAAAATAAATAAAAAATGTAGGCGAAGAAGAATCTAAGACCCAACGCCGAGTTTGTAGTACCTATTTATAAGATAAATTATGCTAACAATAGATAGTTAATTATTAATTGAGTTTTCAAAAAGTCTTCAGTAATAAATAGTTAGAGTTTTCATTTGCATTCGAATTTTATAATCTATGGCTACAATATTTAGATAACGAAATTTGCGAGATCAAACTTTCCCATAAGATCGAGTCGCCGCGACAGTTTCTTGGTTTCGTGCAATGCGGTACTCATAAATCGAAGGAACCACCAATGACCTAGGGTACTACGCAAATGGTTGGCGGTTTGACCTGGTACTGAAACTGCATGCATGTGTTGCACCCTGCAAGGGGCATGCGCCATTTTACAATTTAGCAAAACTTACTCAGTGTCAAGGACGAACAGTCACGACGCATCGCTGGGCGCCTTTTATAGATCGTTGCTGTATAGAATAGATGTTCCTAGCCAAAGGGCGTATTCTGCTGTCCATGGCAATTTTGTAACATAAAAATGCGAATGCAAAATGCAATATACCGGAAAAGATCATATTTACCAGTATCATGAGTAAAGGAGAGGGTATACTATTATCGCAAACTGTTTTCCATCAGGCAGTGTTATTCATTTTAACAAAAATTAAAATATGCTCCTTACAATCCTCAAAATGAACTCAATTCAAACTGAAACAGTATTAATCATTTTTCTTTGTTTTGAGAGAATTTCAAATTGTCCCCGAAGATAGTTATCGAACGTGCAATGAGTATGCTATCATCAATCAGCAGTTTTTGACTAGGCCCCAATAGGCTTTGTGAGTCCGCCACAGGGATTTCTTTTCACCTTACTCTAGTTTCTGGATGAATGTTTTCAGCAGATATTTTTCAAGAAGCTAGACTGTGTTTTAACTTCTTGCTTTATTACTGTTATTGGTGATCCTGGGTCTTATATTTTGTGTCTGTTCACTTTCTTCTTCAAACTCTGCCCGTCCTTATGTCAGTTATTTTTCAAAATACTCTTTCCATTAGTGGGGCGTTTGGTTGTTGTTGTTGTCCTAATGTTTACTCTCCAACTTTCTGATGAGTTCAATACCTATGCATACAGTTTCTATCCCATGGCTCATTTTTTTCTGTACCTACCATTTTATTTCTTACTTTCGCTTGATGTGCTTCCTTATAGGTACCTTCAGTTTTCTTCCACATCCAAATGTTTTTATCATCTGCATGTCAAAAATAGGTTGAAAAAAAAAATTAAATCGATTGAAATCTGTTTTCTGCTGTGTCTTTTCAAACCTCTCGGAAGAAATGTGAATCTATTTTTAGCCTACTTGACTAGATGGTGATGGTAACTTAGCTCCATTCGAGGCATTAACAAGTTGAAATTAAAATATAATATTGATATGTGGTATCTCGGATTTGAATTTCTTACTATACATTACTGTCTGAATTTGCATTTCAAGAAGATGATATTTTGCATTACAAAACCGGTAGCATCGTCCTCATTTCATATACACCATAATTAACTTACTTACTTCCTATACGATTTTTGAAATTCATTGCAAGATAATTCATATCCATTTTAAATTTAAATAATAATCATACCTATAATATAATTCATAAATTCCCAAGCATGGATCTAATTATGAAAACCGGAAAATACCGCCAAGCTTCTAGTGATTGAATATTGTAACGCCACTGAAATAAAGTCGATAATATCGAACGGACATATGAATTTATAGGAAAGTTGGGCTTTGCATCCCAAGCGCGTGTAAGTGTTTAAGCTCAAATTTATAAATATTTTCCGCGTTCTCATGTAATATTTCGCGTCTTCCAAAGGAAGATGTATTATTTTAACCGTTAAAATTTCTTGCGACTTGCGCCAATCATTCTCATACAGACACACCTATTCAAATTTAGGATTTGTTCCAAATAAATGAAATATTAAAGAAAAACTGAAAATACCAAGATGGATGAAGGTATTCTTTTCAACATTCCGGTCGCTTATATGATACATACGCTAGACAATTATCATGAACCAATGTATAATAATTTAATATAAGATGTTTTATCTCAATATCATTAATTTTACCAATAATTTTGACCAATGATACTAAAATTTTTTATTTGTTTCAGAATTTGTTGCCATTACCGGCTGGTGCTGGAGCTGCTTTAGTTAAGCCTACAAAATACCATTATTATCCCCACAATCAACATATATATTTGCTACCAGAATGTGCAATTCAACAGGTAAAAAATGCAACAATATAGGTATTATAATCTATACTACACCTAAATTCAAGTGGAACGCTTAATATATTTGGTCATCGAATACTTAAATACTTTGGATATTATATGTTATTATGATCATTGTGCTGCAAATCAAAACAACACGAACGGAGCGTCCACTAAAACTGGTACCATCCTATTCACGGAGTCCCCATTTTCTGGCCACGTTCTCTCCAGATACGAGTATATCAGTCCATGCAGTTAAGATTCTCTTTAGCCCAAAGCAATGTTCTTCGAACACGGTGTTAAGCATAGACGCTACTCGTTAAATTGAACGAGTAAAGTCGTTTTCTAGAAGATGAAGAAACGTTTGGTCCAGTTGGATTTTTTTTTATTCCAGAAGCTGACTAGAATGAACCAGTTTCTTCTAATCCTTATCGCTCATCGTCATGTTTACTAGTGCGCCTGTGTCAGGCAATTCCTTGAGCTTTTAAGCGCGTGATATTGAACTGTTCGTCGAAGTACAAGAAACTTCAATATTTCTGGCTTTTAACTCAAACCGTTACTATGTATATTAAGTACAATATTCACACTGGAGATTTTCAAAGAAAACTTCACAAGGCAAACAAAGAGCGGTAATCAAAAACGAATATCCTATTCATGCATTCGTATCACAAAAACCTTCTTTATACCTATAGGTATCAAAAAATATGAACAATATCAATTTTCATGACTGGAAGCTACACACTCAAGAAAATGTGCATTTTTACAAGGTACAAAATTATTCAACTAATCCAGAGCTGGGCAAAGCCCTCAGTAAAAGGGCTTGAAGCACTAAGCCCTAAGCCCTCTATCAAAGTGCTTCAATTTCAAGCACAAATTCATTTTTATTTTCAAAAGTGCTTCACCAGCACAAAGCCCTCAAAGTGATTTGAAAAGTGCTTGAAGCACATCAAAAGTGCTTGGGGTGCCTTGAAAAGGGCTTCAAGCTCTTTCAATGTGCTTCAAGCTCTTTAAATGTGCTTGAAGCTCTTTGAATGTGCCTAAAGCACTTTGAATTTGTAATAAAATTCTCAAAGTGGCATAAGCTACCGCGTACACTCATCACACAGAATTGGTATAGTAGAGACGAACTTTACATTTCACAGAGTAGCAGTAGTATGTTTTTTTTTGAGATGTAGTTCTGGGGTACTTGGGGTAGTTGGGATACTACATGGTAATTCAATTTTAAGGTTTTCAAAATGTTCACTGGGGAAAAGTGAAAAAAATCCAGTGATAAAGTGAAATAGGATACCAATATAAATTAATTATTTATTTGAATAATAAGTTCGTTCATTTTTTTTTTTAAGCTCATTGAAAGGGCTTGAATTACTTTTTTCAATTACAAATTACCAAGCACTTTTCTAAAGTAATTGACTTTGCAAGCCCCAATTACAAATCTATAAAAGGGCTTGAAGCACAGGGCTTTCAAGTCCTCAAAGTCCTTCAAGCACTTTCGCAAGCACAAAGCACTCAAGCCCTGCCCAGCTCTGAACTAATCTCACCAAATTAAAGCGTTCCACTTCAATCGACGAGCAGTATATAATATTCAATTATCATGCATGCAGTGTATCCATCAAATTCCGCATCATTCGAGGGTTTTTTTTATAAATCAGTTTAGGCAAATTTGCATTTTAGTTCATTTGCACTATTTCCAAAGCAAAACCTGTTCTTAAAAATACCGTCATTTTTCGTAAACTATAAAAACAATAGAAAAAAATTCCACATGATGCCAACTTTGATGGTGACAGTTCTATCCACGTATTTCCATTTTTATTAAGTAAGTATTTATCTATTTTTTATTATCCGACTTCTTGCTAGATCTTCCTGTTTTTTGTTTTTATTTATTTCCATACTTGTTTCAAGTACTTGTCGAGTGTTTACCATGCACTGTAAATGACCCTATCATCCATTCAGATTGGTTGAACCAAGTTTTACCTACGTCGTAACGTTGATGTATACTGGTTATAAATAGATTATTACTTATTTTTTTATTTTTTGTTTTCTTGATATTCACTTTTTCTTTCAATTTCCTCTTTATTGTAAAAAACATTATACAGGGTATACCATTTAAAACGAAACAGGCTAAATATCTGATGTCACTTTTATTTTTTTTTTAAATCGCTCGTACACGTAATTCAATTGTTTAAGCATTTTAAACATTTTTAGCACTAACTTAACCCTATAAGAGGGGTGGGACCAACCCTTACCAGTCCAAATGAAGTCGAGTGATACCTGTTTTAAAAGAACGGTAATTTTTTTTTCAAATGACATCAAATGAAGGAGAATTGAACGCTCTTTTAAAAGAGGTATCACTCGACCCCTTGTTCCATTTGAAATAGTAAGGGTTGGTCCCACCCCTTCTAGAGGGTTAAAGTTGAAAAGCTGGAAATGGTTGCAGAGAACTTCCCCTTTTAAAAATCAAATTACGTGTACGAGCGATTTTTTTAAAAATAAACGAGGCACCAGATATTTAGCCTGTTTCGTTTTAAATAGTACACCCTGTATACTTTCGCCACAGAGCTTTAAAAAGGACCGTGTCATTGTTCAAGGGGAGCAATATTCGCATGTTACAAAAACCTCACACAGGCACCTTCTGAGTGACAATACCATCCGTCCTGCGTCGATCGGAAAGTTGCAAAGGAAGGAAGTTTGTGTGAAGCACATACACCTTCTTTTGGGAGAAACAATGAAAATGAGCCCCGAATCCACGGGGTAGGCATTACAACCAAAGATGAACTATAAGTAAAGCAGACGCTCCACCTTCAGATTACGACGATGACACACAAAGTTATTCTACTAGGAGACTTCAATGCCCGAGTCAGCAGAGAGCCGACCCCTTAGACAGGCACCATTGACAAGGATATATGTATAGGCAATGGTTACTCGAATAGTGGCATCATCCACGATCGACTATACTCTATGTTGTTGACTACTGTACTGACCATCGTGCTGTACTGACCATTGGAAGGTTCCATCTGGAGTGTCGCTACAAGTACCAGCAAAACGATGGACATAGAGGGAACAGCCACAGCACAGGTTATATACTGCGCGACTCAAAGAAAAAGACACTAAAACACACTTCCTGCTGATTATCCCAACGATATTGCACAACATTGGTCAATGTTTAAAACAGCTATGCTATCAGCCTGCCAAGAATCAACCAGCTTAATCACCAGGAAACACCAGAATTAGTTTGATAAGGACAATGAAGAAATTTAGAACGTCATAGATCAGAAGGGAAAAGCCTACAATATTTTTCTGTCAAAACGACCCAAATTCGGCTCAAACAAATATATCTTCAAGCAAAAGCTGAACTGCAAAAAAGTCCAAGGCTTGGTGGCAATTCAATTGGGATATTTGGCAGCCTCTCACAACACCAGAGCCTTCTTCAGCGCCACAAAACTAACATATGGTCCCTCTACAGAAGCTCCAGATCTCCTTAGATCTAGAAATGGAACTAAGATTCCCAAAGATCCAGCTTCATTAAGCTCCCGATGTCAGGAGCATTTCGAGGAACTCGTAAACAGAGAGTAACACGTGGATGTCTTGAACGATGTCCCTCAAAACCCCACTCAAAACTATTTTAGTTCCTTTCCATCAAGAGGTTGGAAAAGCAATCAACCGGCAGAAGAATGATGAGCCTGGATTAAACCGAGTCCCTGCTGAGCTCTACCAGGTGTGGAGCAGTGTTCTGGTCGAACACACACATAGGTCTATAGCGAAAATATGGAACACTGGGATGATATCGACATATCTGCGTGACACCTCTATTGTAAATATATTCAAGAAAAGCCACGATTCGGAGTGTGGAAGATGACTGACTCTCGACAACCGTAAAATTCTTGCCAGTATAATCTCGAACAGATTTCTTCCCTTGGTCGAAGCAACGCTACCCGGACGATAGTGTAGACCAAATCGAGGTACGGCGGTCATGATCTTCAGTGCAACACAAATATAAGAATAATCAAAAGAGCCGAACAAACCCCTGTGTATAGCATTCATAAGGTCGAAGCGTTTAACTCTATTATTCGAGTAGCTCTTCCAAAAATTACATTGCAAGGCTGTCAATCTGAATTTATCCACAAACTTCGTTTACTTCTCGATTTTCTATTATTTCTTATAACATATTATCTATGCAGTTTTTGTTGGTATTGTTAACAATTTTTTTTTTTTTCAAATTCATTTATTTGATCAACTTATATTATGATAACCAATTTGTTTTCTATTTTTTTTAGGTTTGCAATGCAGTTTACGTTAGACTGAATTGGACGCAACCCTTATGTGCATGTCCGTCAAGATACAGAGATCCATGCTCAGCATCTTTAAATTCAGACGATTTGCACACTACAGAACTTTCTATCAACAAAAAATCAAGGGTAAGTAAGTAGACAGTCCCAGTCTCTCCTATGCATAACAATGACGAAAAATACATGCGAATAGATGGCTACTGATCAGAGACCGCAAGGGTTTAAGGAAAACCTGTGTTCTCTTGCGAACAGTGAACTTCTATTTTTTCACTTTCTCTTGAAAGGTACCCAACGCATATGTAGGTATATACCTACATTATCCAAGAATTACCCAGAGTCGATAAATAAAATAACTGCAGAAGATTCCTGTAATTAAAATTTTATCAGAGCAATAAGAACATCGTAAAAACCTATATTTTACCCAAGGCACTTTGGATTTAATTGCAGATTTTAGGTAAATTCCTGCATAAATAAAATCTATTTAATTATCAAGGAATTAAGTACCCCATAAAAAGCAATCCTACAATATTGAGGATATATATAGATACTGAGAAACAGAAAAATGATTTCGTTTCAGGCAACAGCATCTCAATTGCAATTTAAACATATATCTGGGTATGCCTGTACAGGGTGCCAAAAAAGGCGTTCATGCCTTTAAGATTTTAGAAAAACGAAATCCTTATTTACCTTCGTTATAAATCTATCACAATCAAATGAACGCTTTTTCTTGTTATGAAGATTTAATTAATAAATGTAACTTTTTTAAATCATTGGAAATACGGTGTTGGCAGCAAAAATACGAATTCAGGAAAGAGATTGTATGTGACCTGTTCTCATATTTCCAAAGCAAAAGATCCCATAAAGTTGCAGTTTTGCTGTTGGTTGGTATTTGCATCAGATATCAAAAATATAATTATTACATACCAAAAATTGATACCTCATATATTAAATGATAGCAGCAGATAATATTTGTCATAGAATGGCTCCAATTTGATATAGAATCTAACGTGACTGCCTCCTGGGACTCCTGGGACAAATGCGGATTGCAAATCTTCATTTTCAACGAGTAGCGATTCTGTTTTTGTTAAGAAGTCTTAAGGGATACGCTCGTGGCCATGGTGGGAACAATAACCGCTATAGAAAATACAATGTTTTCATTGCTAGAGCTTCCCCTGCAAAGTATTTCAAAGGACATATGATTAAGAATGTACCACAACGGCTTTTCAGTCCGAATAAATTACACCCAATAATTTTTTAGTGTCATCAGTCCTACCCGTCCATCTTCGGATGGACTGGTCTGGATAATTTACATAAGTATCTGTTCTTCAATTTTTTTATGGCAGCGAGATATGAAATCCTCACAGGCTCACCAGTTCTGAGAAATTCCAACCGAGCACCCACAATTGAAAAAAAAAGGAACCAAGACCAAGACCTTGGGCAGACATATTGAAGCAGCAACTTTTGGTTTGGTGACTCACAAGGGCGGATTTAGTTATCATTTATGGCGGGGGGTAAACAGTGGCATGAAGCCTAGTCTCCCTAGACGCGAAATCGTGTCATTTTTTAGTGCCTATTTCCTAGCAAATTATTCTCATGTCTCCATAAGCGCGAAATTCGCGTTTTATTTACCAGGCTTGAAGTTAATTGAGAATCTTTGAAAACCTACCAATAATGGAAAGTGATTTCTAAAAAACAAAAAAGATATGTCTTATGTAGACGACGGCCGCGAAGGTTGCTTATGGCCGTTTGCACCCAAGGATAATACACACTACTACTACAGGATAGCCTATCCTCATAAGGCCTGTGTTGTGTGCCCCTCACCACGCCAAATCACCATTTGTGACGTAGGCAGCATGTCCTTTCTCGCCTTGACGTAGGCTGTTTGCACCACAGGTAATGATTCCGCGGGCTATTGCTTCATGCATACTTGGTTTTACTACATTAATTAACATTCTAAACCGACTCTTTTTTAGATCTCGTTTCCATCTTCCTCTTTGCCTATTATTATGTTAATCATAATATTTTTCATCATAAATTTAAATTCTGAACTACGACCTCTAGTGCAAACAGCTGACGACTTGTTAATGACGTCGGAAATGGTGACACACCAATATGGCGGCGATTACCAAAAACGAGACCGATAAGCAATCCTTAATAGTGTGTATTTTTCCTATTGTAAAACGAGCTCACCAGCTATACCTATGGCAATGATACGGATTGTCATATTTGACAAAAAATCCAGTGTAGAGAAAAGACTGATTTACCCAAAATAGCGAAAAATTACAAGACCTGTCAGTCGGGTGTCCCACTTTTAAGGCTCACGACTTTATTTCTTAAAATGACATTTTTTCATAAGAAATTGTCACACAAGGAGCATTTTACGCCCTGCTGGAGGAAATGCGACTCAATGATCCGGAAAAATACTTTAATTATCTGAGGATGACCCCTGATTAATTCCATAAATTATTGAAAATTGTTGGCTCCCAGCCAGATAGAAAAACATTTTCACGTAAGGGAAACGATGAGAAGTGAAAACATAAACAAAACTAAACCTGACAACAACATCACATAACCTCACTTCTCTCAAAGTTAAAAAAAATTAAGTTTTTTGCAATACCGCAGGAAGTTAAAAAATTCGAGAAATTTGCCCGACATAAAAAATTCAAATGTTAGATGTCAAATTCCAACCAATATAGGAAAAAATCCGCTAAAAAAATTCGCCACCCTATTGCTACGGCAATGCACTGGGGGTAAAACTTACCAAGACAAAATAAATAGTGTGATGTTCAATCAGATTTCGTGTTAGATGCCAGAAATCATGTACGTAAAAGAAAAAATTGTATGTATTTAAATTATTCAATTATTCAATTTTCAGTAATCATAAGGGGGGTAATTACCCTCTGTACAATAACAGATCATTTGATTTCAAACTTCGATAAATTTTGAAAAAATTGATGATAAGTGAACGGATTTCAAAAAACTAATGTAAAAAATTTTCAGAAAAAGACATGCAAATCATAGTTTTGCAAAGTGTGAAAGAAAAAAAAAAGTGTTTAAGAGAAGGCATAGAATGGCACTTAATATTTCAGTTCCAGATTTTTCTGGAGAAATGCTCATATGAATAGCACTACTTATATTTCTATGCCTTTTATCCTACCAATTTGTGATTTGGTAATAATATCAATTTACGATGAGTGAAATTTTATTAGCCCTGAATTATATCAGGCTAAAAGCTTTATGACAAAACCAATAATGTAGCCGACCTACAATAATAATTTTCTTACAAGAAGTGACACCACGAAACAATTATCCCAGACAGTATTAATAAAAATGACATCCACAAGCTTACCTGCAACTGCTAGAACACTAAATTTACGTTAGCCACAATTATATTGTTATCATACAGGCAATGAACATAAAATATTACCGTGCACTAAATCTTCAGAGAAAAGACGTACCAATTTGCATTTTTTTAATACATACAAATTACAGTTATTAGGTTTGCCCTCAGAGTATGTTAAAATGAAAAGTAGTTATTTATGCGTATTTCTAAGACAAGGATAATAATGCAAGGCGACTTACCACTAAGAACATGAATCTTGCGACCAGTAGGTAAGTTATAAAAGTGGTGATCTTTTTATTTTTAATTTCAACCAAAATTAGAAAAAAAAAGAATAGGGCTTGAGAAAAATGCATACAAGCGTTGTTTTTCGAATTATCTAGAGCAATATTTAAATTGTTATTACTCGACATCTAATTGCTTTTCCTTAGGGTGTTTTATGATGTGAGATAAGTATCTAGAGCCATCAAATTGCATTGACTAATAGACTAAAATGAAATTATCGCGATTTTGAAAGAGTCGGAAAATAGCCTTTGGGTAAATAGAATACTAGTTCAATAAGCTTATGTTATGAGAACAAGAAATCTTTCTATTTGGCAAAATAGACATGACTTAATAAATTTTCTAAAATAATGCAAGAAGTCATAATGGCCAGAAAGGTAATGTTCTATTGAACTTAAAATTATGCCCTCCCTGAAATTTCGCATAAGCCACAACATCTCGAAACCATTTTTATAGAATGAGCAAGAAATATTAGAAAAAAAAAATAACTAGCCTTGTTTGGGATGGACAAAAAACATACTATATGGATGGGCGCCCAACGAATCAAGAATGAAATTCCGAACAGCTTACAAGTGGTCAATTAGAAAATCAAACCCGTTTTAAACCCAAAGGAAACCGGCAATAGATTGTCAACAAACTGGAAAAAAAAATCCGACCGTGGAGAAAGAAAAACCGGAAGATTGATGGGATACGACTGCTGATCCAGAGGATCAATATTGTCCTTCAACAGACACCAAAGATTTTTAGGATAGTTAGTTATTATAGTTAGATATTAGCACATTACTCCTCTTAGCATCATCGAATAAAATGTTGAACGCGTCTCATAATTCACGTATCATGGCGCTACCCTAAATGAAAAATGGGAGTGTGATGAAAAAAAGACGGGAGGAATTGGCTGTGCAAATAAAAACCTTCTCTAAACTTCTATTCTATCAGTGTCATTCACGTCAAGTTAATGATATTATTGTTTACATTACTCCATCCCTATAGAAAGATACATTGACTGCAGGGACATACATTCTGGATCTCCAAGAAACTCCAAACGGCATCTATTAAATTTGATAACAAAAATAAGATCCTTCAGTGGCGCCATCTGTTAATGATTTTCTCGAATAACTTCCAGTGACGTCAGAATCTTTTGGCGTCCGTTTAAATTGGTGGGTATAGTATTTCCAGAGTTAATTGAAACAAGGTAATAATAAATTGCAACTGGTGGCTGACTAGTGACAGTGCATTTCTTATGAGAATTTCATACATCTATCAAAACTGACATTCCAAGAATAAAGTGACATGTTTTGATTTGATGATTTGAACCAATCAGATTCGAATTACGCGATAATTTGCACTAGTGCAAATTATCAGTAGTAATAGCCCAAGGACATTGATAATTGCCCGAAAAAATTTTATAACAGATTTCGAAAGCTTGTTGCTTGAAAACAGACCGACGCGTCAGCGGAAGTCTGTTTTCTATAAGCAACAAGCTTGAGAAAGTTGTTATAAAATTTTTGAGCATTTATCAATGTTCGAGGGTTATTCGGATAGAAATTTTTTTGACAGCAATGTCGGAGAAAATGTCATAAAGTGAAAACAACCCTAGGGCTGTTTTCAGTATAAGTTCAACTGGCTGTTAGAACTGTCAAAAAAATTTCACGATAATTGCATAGTAACTTGTGCGAGAACTGGTGTTTTGACATTTTTTGACAAAAAATTTAAATTTTTGATTCATGAAATTCTCTCATAAAATACAACACGTGCAATGAAAATATATTTATAATTTCCATTGCACTCGTTATATTACTATCGAAAATATTCAGTCACCAGTTGTGATTTACCTTTACCTTGTTTCAACTGACTTTGGAAAGACTATAATAATATCAAATTTTATTTATTTTTTTTTGCTTCTTTAACTGTGTCCTTCATGTAGGTACTTATTTTTTCGTTACAAGGGATTATGTTGATTGCATAAATTGAACCTTGCAATGAAAATAGTTAAACCCAACTATGTTAAAACACCGGAGTAGTGATGAGACATCAAAAATTTAGAGAAGAAGCAGACCTTATCGGCGTTGTAGTCTAGAGGTTAGCGTTTATGCCTCTTAACTAGAGATGTAACGTGAAAAAAAACAATCCGTTTTTTTTGTTTTTTTTTCAAGTTTTTTTTCATGGTTTTTTTTCAGATTTTGTGTTTTTTTTCTAGTGAAATATGGATGAAACATAAAATATTGCCCTATTCTATATAGAAATAACATAGGAACAATATTGGATCTGTTTCTGCAGAAGTCACAAACCAGTCAGAGCGAATTTCATTAGTTGAAAAGTCAGAAAACTAATTTCAACCAATGAAATTCACTCTGACTGGTTTGTGATTTCTGCAGAAACAGACCTATTCTTATGTAAATGAAACATGTTTTCAGGTCAGGTACATGGTACATCCATGTATGAACTATCATATTATATCAGATCATACATTCATCATAATCTTACAACATACATACTAGAACAGAACATCACTGATATAAGAAAGACACTTTCGCTGTATGAAGAATTTTCAGACTGTAACTATGTCTCCAGGGTCGTCAAATGTCCGTTTTTTTTTACTTAAAGATGAGGTTGGAGATACTCACGAAGTTTAAAATTGTTATTTCGAAAAAAACACAAAAACTTGTTTTTTTTTGTAGTTTTTTTTCATGTTTTTTTTTTCAAATCTGAAAAAAAACCTGCTTTTTTACATTAGAATCTTTTAGAAAAAAAACAAAAAAACCGTTTTTTTTCTGGTTTTTTTTCAATGTTTTTTTTCAAATCTGAAAAAAAACCGTTTTTTACATCTCTACTCTTAACTATGCACGCCCGGGTTCAATCCTTGGGCCGCTCAATGTCGATGGTAGTATTTGGAATTTGGTATTAGCAAGAAATGCCATCTTTCGAAAAGCGATGTGAAACTGTTGGTCTTGTGTATCAGTGATGTGATGTACGAAAAAGATCCCTACCATCGACAAAGATGGGTTCGGCTAGACAAAATTTCCAGATGGGGTGTGACAAATTCCATGGCGTCGGTGAGTGGCCTTTGTCGCGGAAATAGGCCGACGAAAAATAAATCAATGAAAAAAAAGGAGACTTTTATAGTCAGAAGGTTATAAGAAATGTCCTAGCAATAATTTAAAGTCCATTTGACATAATCTGGACTTGATGATATTAGTTATTAATAACGTATATTCGATAAAACCTGATTCACCCATTAGATCAAGATATTTCATGAACAAAATAGTAGGCAAAGGAAATCAAGGATCTGAGTGAGAGTTTATTACTTTTAAAAATACCTTTTTCTATCAAAGAGTCACGTTTATAGGCCGGGATTGAAGCATGATTATTCTAAAATATTTTCTCATCCAAATTTTGTTCAATAAGATAGAATTTCTTTAAAAGAAAGATAACACCTATCTACGCCAATTCTCTCTATATTGTGCTGCAAATGACCACGTAGATTCAATTGTGATTGGATCAAATTAACAATAAGTTCGAAACGCACAAATGAAGAAAATTTCAAAAAGAACTCGAATGATATTCCCGCAATATTTTTATTTAACATAATTTCATTCATTTGTCAAATGTGGCAGATAATAATTTAATTTTTGGTTATTATATCTAGGAATCTAGGCCAGTCAAATAGAATAATGCAGGAATGTTGTAGTTATGTTATATAGCATCATTTCACTTGCAATTATCAACTTTGAGCGCATGTAGAATTCACATCGCTTTTAAATGAGCCCAGGATGCTGGAGCATCTTGAAATTGTTGAATGAATTTTTTCTTGGTTGAAAGCAAATCCTTGTCTTAATATTTTTTCGTTCTTTCAGAAAGCTCTAACTTTAGTCAAAACATGCGAACCCACTAGTGAAATGAGGATATGCAGAGCACCAAGAGATTGGTCCCTGCTGGCTTTGCAGAATATAAGGACAGGAAAATCGCACTATCTGGTTATCTGTAGATGTCCCGAAAGCAGTACATTGGGTAAGATTTATGTTCGATGTTCGTCATTTTACATTTAGTAGTTTTTTTCATAAAGAATCAACCTTAAAAAATTTAACAGACTCTCCTCGACAGGCCAAACAATTCGTTCATGTATATACAATATTGATTATTTGTATTGCATTTTGTGCAGATTAATGATAAAATACGACTGTAGGTACTTATTGTGTTGTCGAGAATGTATAAATTTAAAGAAGGCTAACTTACAGAATGTAGGTACCTGACGAAGAGTCAATATCCAAAAACAACTTTCTTAGAACAGTAATATTTGGAATACCTATCAACTAATTTTGAGCTTTTTTTTTTCAGAGGGTCCTATGTCACATGACCAACCAACATACGCTAGTGTTCCGGGAATAAGAGTATATGGAATGATGTGTGTGGACAACAAACGTAGAGGCAGGCCACTAAGAACTGCAAGAACTCTTGATATGCCACCATTGCCATGGCAAAAAGCACAAGAGCTAGCCGAATCAGCCTTATGGGATTAAGTGCTTTGAAGCTTTATAGCATTAGATTATGTGATTACAAGAAATCTATTTAGACCTCGACTTATTTAAGTATTTATCGTATATCTTTAAGGTTATTAGATGTATGCCTAATCTTCGCCGTAATTTAAAATACTTAGTGCAATTAGTTCAAAACTACAGTAAGGTCCATAAGTTTAAGGCGATCTCATGATAATGTTTCACGTTTAGGCATTAATGCATCTTGTAGATGTACCTGAACATCAAGTTACTAAACTATAATAATATTAAAACGTAAATCTGTTTCTTAAGTCAAAAAAAATTTTTTTACTGTATCGCTATTCTACTCAAATCGATTTTCAACTGTTGTTGCATATATCTCATTAGGTAACGAAAAAATACTTGAAAAAAAAATTATTATTCGAAAACTAACAGCCGCCCTGTAGGATATTTAATTGGATATGTCATGATCAGTTTGAAATTTGGACCAATTAATGGTCATTCCATTCAGTACGATGGGAGACTTTTAGTCGTGGCGCCATCTAAGACTTGGATACAGCACTAAACAACGTTTTGCTGTATTAGTACTGACCGTCAATAGGCCGACCAAAAATCGGTTAGTTGGGAAAATCCAAATAGGAAAAACAAGTTTCTCCTATGTACTGCTACATTCATTACATTAATACCTATGTTTCAATTCCCAGAGATTCGATATGATGATTATAATTTACTTGGGACATCCTATGCCAAAATCCGTGGGCCAGACTTTAATTTTAAATTTACTTAATAAAATATGACATATAGTATTGGTTGGTAACATATTGTGACAATATTTGGCCGTATTTAAAATATAACACTTTTTTACTCCGACAGCGACATACAAATCTTTGTCTTAGTAATCAGAGTGTAATGGCCGGATTTATCTAACATTGCTTGATTTGAAAGTCTTTATTTTCTTGTTTTTTGACAAAACAGCCTATTCCTAATTTGTATGAGTTGAAAATTTCCGACTTGAAGAACTCATAGGATAAAACTGTTACACATGAAAACATATGAAATTAAATTGGATAAACCCAGCCTTATTAATTGTAATCAATGAATTGAATGTATTACATATTATCATTATCAAACAATAAATATTTTTAAATATGGCCAAAATTAGGGGTTTCACACCACTGCCTTTATAATAGCACTGCTGACGGACTTGGGTATTTTATAATTTATTTTAAACAATTTTGTTGAACACTGTTCGTCATTTCCCCTGAAAACTTGTATATACCATCAAAACATATTTTAAATAAAATAGTATTCTTCGAAATGGTTTCAGTAATTTATTTCTTTCCAGTTCGTAATAATGACACAATATATTCCAAGATATACGCAGGCGGTTTTAGCTTACAAATTATTATATTTTCAGCAGTTATCTTGGGAACAATTGGGTTTTGGACATATATTTATGAGAAATGATCGAATCACTCCTTGAATTGGGTACCACATTCTATGAAACACGCTGATACATACAGGGTTGTCGTTATATAAGTATATAACGGTCACCAAAAAGTTTCTCCTGAAACGTTATTCGTGAAAAGGGGGTTGGTTCAATCAATACAGGTTGGGCTTCACTGGTAACTAACTGCATGGGTCCTAATGACCATCAGAAGAGAAACTGTTTACCTTCCCGGGATCTGGTATTCCTGAGCAGTTCGTAGCGGCATTAGCTCTCTGGTGCGAGAAGGTCGTACTAACCGTTGAGAGTAAGTTAGCTAAATTGCTAACTGGTGATCAAGCATATTATATTAATTTATTTTTTGATGTAGTACAAGGTGGTATTATTATTATGCCAGTTGACATATGCCTTCTCCAGACTAGCGTTGACCCCCAATCCCACGAACCAATTGCTCATATAGGCAGGTACTTACTAAATACAAAAATTAAACATTCACAAAAACCCAACAATTAGCTGAGTAGGGAGATTGGACATCATAGGACTCGTCACAACGGCGAATCTACCATAGGTCACATGGGCCTTTGGCATAAACATCGTTTGTTAACAGGATAGGAGTTGTTCTTCAAGAAAACACACACGTTCAATTGCTTCTACTGGGTACAAGGACCTCACCAAAAAGGCACTAGGTAAACATGCCACATGGGTCGAACACAGAGTGTTGGTACAATCAATACAAACTGGAGAAATTTGTTGGAAAATATTTTTGGAAAAACACATGTGTGCAACCACCATAGAATGAGTTTGTGTTGCTATGACACGGTCAGATTTACACAATAAGTGGTGGTTTTGCCTTATAAGACAATGGAGAATTCCGAATTCTTAATCATTGGGTGCTAGCGCTAATTGCGGTTGAAAACTTGTCGAAAAATGCCAAAAATATGTCATTTTTGGTTATGAATTAAATTAATGTACCACCAGATCCTGGAGATTTTTCTTGTACTACTTTTTTTTATCGGTCCTGTATCTCCGAAACTAATCATACGATCTTTTTGGGCCTACGAGAACTTATGTTCAGGAGGTCGAGAAGCATAAAATATTTCAATTTCATGACAATCGTGAAATTTATTTTTTCTCATAAGATCCGTGCTTGGTCCTTTGAGCCAATTCTGATGTGAGTTTTTTTTTCACTTAGAAGACAGATTTTTAAAAAAGCAACCAATCAGAGAACAGAACTGACAGTTTTGAAATCTGAAGTTCTGTCATCAACGCCCCCTTGAACCTGTTTCTCTAATGTGGCAAAACCACCGCGTATTGAGCAAATCTGACCGTGTCAGAGCAATACAAACTCATCGTATGAGTAATTAGCAGTGTGTTGCAGATTTTGTTGAACAATTGTGTTTTTCCAAAGATATTTTCCAACATCCTTCTTTGATTCGACACACTGTCAAGAATTCTTTGATTTTTTGAAAATTTATTTCCAAAAATCTTAATACAAACTGGGTTTCACGGGTAACTGCTTATTATATCAACTCAGGTTTTTGACATACAAGGTAAAATTATTAGGTATTATTATAGCAGTTGACGTAATATATATGAATATGCCTCCTTGACACTAGCGTCGGTCCCTACAACCTATATTTGTGTAATTGAAATAGGAATTCAAACAAAGAATTTTTGCTCTATTATGCCAATAGGCTAACTAAAATATAGCGTAACAATCATATCATGAAAGCTACCAAAATGTCGCTTGTCCAGTCTCTTGTCTTTTCCATATTTTTGTATGGCTCTGAGACTTGGACTGTTAGAAAGACAAATCGCCACCGCATAGACGCATTTGAAATGTGAACTTGAAGGAGAATGCTAAGAGTTACTTATACAGCTCACCGAACAAAAGTTTCGATATTAAGCGGACTCGTCAATACAAAACGACTATCCTCCATTGTTTCAACACGTATCCTGACGTTCTTCAGTCATATCCATAAAAGTGATAATATTGAAAAACTTGTGATTCAGGGTCATGCCCCGAAAGGACGGCGTCGTGGCCGTTCTCCAACACGCTGGGTGGACGCAACAAAACAATTGCTAGATGTAAGTGTCACAAGAGCGACCGAATTGACAAATAATCGCAAAAGATAGCGGAATGCGGTTTTCAAAGCAGTTGACAACCTGCGTGTCGGGAATCCTCCATTTCTGACTTAGTACATTTTCTGAGTTCACAACATGTCTGGCAAGACATTGTGTCTATGATGATGATGATGATGATGCCAATATATAGCACTTCCTACCGACCATTTGCGCAATTCTTCCATTTCGTTCAAACACTTATGGAAGTCATTCGCCGCTTGACAGAGCGCTCCGTTTCACTAATATTCCTTTGGGAAGCGAATAAAAATTATACTGGACTTGCCTGACCTGATCTATTTTGCTAGTGTTTGTTGTGATTTGTTATGTCTGTTATGCTATTGAAGGATTCTGCTTACTTTACAGATTTTTATTATAATGCGTTATTGCTTAATGTTAGCTGTACGTTGGTTGATACCTATATGTACCGTAAGGTGGGGTTAGTTGCAACATTTTCAAAATTCTTTTGCCGATACCTTCTTTATTTTTTTGTCGAATTTGACATAATTGGTGCCAAAATTTTAGTCTTGTGGTCTAGTATCCGATTCTAACAAAAAACTTTGAACAACATTATTATTTGATATATATTTTTTTAAAAAACTGGGTGTTGCAAGTTGAACACCTGCAAGGGGATACTTGCATTAAGTGGCTTTTTTCAGTAGTAATTGTATTTAGGAACGCGTGTTAGCTTACTTGCAACACAAGATATTAAAAAAAAAAAAAAAAATTGGCTAATTTTGGCCAATTTTGGTCAATTTTGGCCAAAAATTGGTCTCCTTCCTTTGGAAATACAGGCTGCCTACCAGGATCAAGGGGAAATAAGTTTCTTCTTTTCCGAGAAAGCGTTGATGGGTCAATCCCGAATTCTCGCGATGCTTCCCGAATCCCTGATCCGTTTTCGATGGCCCTTAATGCATTTTCCAAAGTTTCGTTGGAATAATTACGGTAGGTCCTACTCCCTAATTGTTTTTTGTATTTGCGAGGCATGTTGCAAGTTACCCACTTTCGTACATGCAATTTAAAAAAAAATCTATTTACGAAAACCTTCAAACTTAACTCAAAACTAGATATTCAATGTTTTAGACTAAGCATTTAAGCACATCATATCCAAATTTGATACAAATCCTAGGGTAAATAAGCTCTGCACAGGAGAAGTTATATTGCAACAATTTAGAGCAATTACCAGAGCTGTCAGAAAATGGCGCCAAATTTTTCGTGTTTAAAATTTTTCAACGCTAAACCTACTCACATTTCAATCTACTGATCCGTACTAAACGGTAACACGTTAGCGGTTGACGCGCGACTCAAGCGTGAGGAGGGGGAAAGCAAAAATTCCACCCGATGAATATTGTTGCAAGTTGTGCCACTGTTGCAAGTACCCCCACCTTACGCTACTTCCAGATTGGACATCGGGATACCTACAAATAAAAAGCTTTTCCATATGTAGCGAACATTATGGCGGACACTGTATAATAAGATTACCCGCATATCGAGCCGTATATTTGATAAACCAAAAATAATCATTCAATTATACTTATTGCTGGATTACTTAGTGATTTAGTTTAATCTAATATTAGGAGAAATCTTCAATATCGAAATCAAATGAATGACATTCTCTAAAAAAAAAAAGATCCAGTAAACGAAAAATCTAAAGATATGTAGCAAATTGAAATTTAGGATTGCCTAATGGCACTATTGCCAGTTTCACATCTTCCGAAACAACCCTGGCTATTGTGACGATATTTCGACTAATTCCGGGGGAAGTCCCACTGCCTCTTAGGGCCCTAATAAAGACTTTGCTAATAATCATTGCAGCTTTTCGCTTTCATGGCAATACACATTTAAAATAGAATATTTCTACTCAAATTCGTTTAAATCGAAAAATCCCAATCTCTTGCCTAGAAACCTTATATGATTCCGGTATAGGTATATAGTATTATGCAATAAACGCGTTAAAAAATGACAATGAAATAAAACCAAATGCAATATGAATTTATGTCGACAAAGTAGAAACCTTTTACCCATTTTATAGCGTGAGTGGGTGACTTTATTAGTTTATCAATTATTAAAGGATAGGAATGTTGTTTTAGCAGAAGTTTAAAATAAATTTTAAAAGGTTTTATATTTAAAGAAAAAAACTTACCCAATATACTCGTGTTCACTTGAATACTGGTGGTATACATTGGTTCCATCAATCTTGGTTCCTGTTTTTCAAAACAATTCTTCATTGCATTTTTAACAGCAGACTCGATAGATGACACTAATTGCGGTGTAATTTCTTCAGGCTGAATGTCTCCCACTAGTTCAAATTTCTTGATAATGAAAGCACAGTTCATTAAAGGTTCTTCGCTAATCGGTCCTGCTTTTGAGAAATTGTGGAAAGGATTCACTATACATTGGGCTAATAGTGTTCTTTTATCTTTGACATTAGCGTCTACAAATATATTGTGCTTATAGTCTTCCGTGCCATTTAATAAAAGATTGGCACAGTCATGGATTCTACCAACACTCCAAATTGTATTATGCATATTAGCCCATAAAAGTCCACTTGATTGAAAGGCAGTTTTTAGTTGTTCTCTAACATGTATAATACTACGATTGGTTAAGTCACTTTTAAATAGTTTTGGGTGTAGTTTAGTATTTTTGCTCGAAGAGTTTTCATTAAATTTTCTTATCAAGTCTATAAGGCTAAAGTGTTGATGCTCTTCCACGTTCCTCAATAATTCGTGATTATGTTCAATAACTTTTGTTATTTCTGGAGGTAGAAATACGACCGTCAATGAGAGATTCATATTTGGAGTATTAATTTCAATATACTGAACTGAATCGACTAAATTGTTACTTATGGTTTCTCTTAATGCTACCATAGGACTAGAAACTTGAATTTCTATCTTAGCAAATTTCTTTTTCAAGTCCTCGATACATTTCTCTAAGTGCACATTTCCAGCAGTTAAAATCACCAATTCACCAGTTTCTTGCATGATAACTTGGACACAAGAGTCACTTTGCATCAGCAACTTTAATCCAAAACGTAGAATCGGAAGTTCTTTAGGATTTACTGGTTCAATAGCATACCTTACAACGGGATATGGTGTGGGATGTTCAACTAAAGGCACTACATCTATTTTTGTTGATAAAGTAGCTGTACGAAGTACAATGGAATCTATCCCTCCTATCCCACAAAAATTTCCTGCCGGAACAGAATCTACAAGAATCAATTCTCTTCCAAAAAGCATATACAGCTTTTCTATTCTGACTTCACTAACAAACTTATTAGCTGCAATAAACGACTCGAGATCTTCAGCAATTCTATTCTCATTGGGCAAATATCCATCTGTCATAGCATACATTGTATCACCAGTCTTAAGTTCCCCAGTAAAGATTCTTGCCAAGGCTATAACAGCAATTTCATCCGATATTTGTTTAATTTTTTGTTCCTCTGTGAGTTCTATAGGTTCAAGTTCTATTTCAGATACTTTTTTTTTATTTTCTATAGTCAACTTTTCCGTCTCTGAAACAGGAAGTGGAATTTGTCTGGGTTTAGGCACAAATGCTTTAGGAGCATTTTCAGAAAGACATTTTGTACTTATACAAAACATTTTGGACACATAACATATTGTAGGTGATTCTATTGAACTTGTTTCAAAATGGGGGCTCATTTCTTCTACGCATGTATTCAAATATGGATCCTCTAAATAATGATTACTATTGAGCAAATATTGAATTTTATCTTTTCCCATATTATTTGGAGATGGTAAAATATTCAGACACTGTAGTAGTATGGTTTTAGCCAATGGCTTCCATGATGATAAAATAGATCTAATTTGGGCTTTAGGGTCATTTGATATAGTCATCTCTCTCGTAGGGTTGGTTATGTTTAACTTTTTAAGAATAGCTGGGGCTTTATCCTTATCCATTCGCACAGCAAGTGTTTGATAAATGTGCACAATAGTTTTTAGGATCAGCTGAATAAAAATGTTAGGTTTATGTTTATCTACAGCTCCCGTTTTAATTTCTCCTTTTGAATCGACCCAATAATCAAAATTCCACACTTTCTTATTAAGAGAATCGATTGTTTCATTTCTAACCATGTTTATCATCATTCTACAAAATTGTTTAGTAGTGAATCCCCAACCATCAATAGCGCTAGCAAAAATAACATTTCCTGTTTCTGGGTTAAATAACAATCCTGAAAAAAAAAGATAATTTACTTCTATTCCATTTGGATGAATTTAATTTAAAGAAATGCTGGTTGTGTGAACAGGTTTTCGAGCTAATTTTAAATATTAGCGTTGATGTAAATCAGCTGTCAAATTGATTTTATTGATTTTTCATATTTATCTACTCTACAATTGTTTAACCAAATGCCTAATCGAAATTTCCCACAACCCCATTAAAGCAGTACTCATTACATTACTAAGTGAAAAAAATTATTTTATTTTATTTTCAATATGTGGTTATAATTCTTCACTTTTCATCCTTTAATGAATTTAAAATTATGGAGTGAGAAAAATGATATATGAAGTGCCACATAACAATAACCTACGTATTTTTCACCCACTTAATAATATTTCATATTTCAAATTAGCATTTTCTCAAGAAATGCAATTTTTATTAAATAATTATCTCTTTAACCCAAGGAATAACCATTTTGAAAATGCACTAAATATCCAGATGTCTTTTGTGGGTTAAGGTCAAACAAACAAAAAAAGAATAGACTTACATGCACAACCCTACGTGAGGACCTTCGAAGATAACACATGCACGGGTAAGATATCATATTCATAGGCAATCACTCGATACCGAGTATTATTACACGGGTAAGTAGTCCCCAGCTTGCTCATAATTTTACATTATTCATAATAAACGCTCAAGCCAGATGACTGTTTCAAAGAAATGTAGTTTTGTAATATTGGATGGATGGATAAAATAAATTATTAAGTTGAATAAATTACATTATTTAACCATTACAAACCAAAAAGCTGTCTTGAGAATACAACAAAATAAAAAGAAAAATCACAAGAACGAATCTTCTTGCACACTAAGATCCAAATAAAACAGATTTTCCTTAGACATTTTCCAAAGATAACACAAGCATGTCTATTCTATTCTATACTGGCTGTCCGGAATAACTTGAAATACATGGAGATTTTGGAAAACCTTGAAGATACAGGGTGGACCAAATGGGGAAAAAGTTATGCGATCAAGTGCCTACGAATAATCTGTCATCAATTTCTTTGAACCCGTAATAGCAACGGATATACAGGGCAAAAACGACAAAAGTGCGTTTTATAAAATCCATAATCAAGAAGTTCGAAGAAATTGATGGCAAATTATTTGTAGGTAGTGATGCCGCGAGACTCGAGACTGGGCTCGTCTCGTCTCGACTTTCCGAGACGAGAGTGGCGTTTGGTCTCGTCTTGTGAAGTCTCGACGAGACGAGACCAGACTCGGCGAGAGTCTCGTGTAGTCTCGAGTCTCGAGATTACACTTGAAATTTTTCTTTCATAGCTTTATTAATGGACTATTCTGGGCTTTTTGAATATGAAATCAGTAAATTAAATATCAGGGTTACTGTTTACTGTTTACTGTGATTTTTCACTAATTACTTTTTCACTATGGCAGTTAGGACTTCCGTTATAATATAAAAACAAAAACCATAAATACAAGGTTTCCGAAAAATAGCGTAAAAACTCTCCACGTAGTAGAGGACCCTTTGAGAAACCCTAGAAAAATAATTAAATTAAAAAAATCCTTCTCCAGCATTATTTTTGGTAATATGAAGAGGTAAAATGTGAAAATTCACCTTCGAATTCTTCAGGTAGTAACATGGGTATTTAATTTAATTCTCTGACATATTGTCAACAGGATATTTTCAGTGTTGCCAATTTTAATAAATATTAAAATGCAAATAACTTTCTTAAGAATGCCACTAGATTTTTTAAAGTATTTTTCTGGGGTTCCTTGTAGGGTCCTCCACCACGTAAAGAAGAGTTTTTACGCTATTTTTTGGACACCCTGTATAACTCGAGACCAAACGAGACCACTCGAGACGAGACGAGACTTTGGTACTCGAGACCGAGACTAAATCACGGTCTCGTCTCGTCTCGAGATGGCGGGACGAGACGAGACCAACCCTAAGCCTCGTCTAGTCCAGAGACATGAGTATGAAATGGACTGGGCGTACGGCACGAACAGTGATGTAAACATGGTAGGCAACCCTAACTGCACATTAGGGGCAGAAATCCGCGCGCACTTGTTATATTTTAGTGTTAGATACGCGATTTGTTGTAATTTTTTGTTTTCTGATGAGTCGTCATCACTTTTACTAAATAGAAAAGATCTTGGGGGATTATGTAAGGCATCAGAAGATGTAATAAAACTGTGCAGTTTAGCCGAAAAAAATTTTCGTACTCATTACACTCCAAACACTACACTCAAAAAAATTATAATATGGACCATGAGTAACATGAACATTTACAATTATTTTAAGGAGCTTGGTGATCATATTATATTGGACCAAGATCCTATTAATAATCATTTACTTCAGCTGATCAACGCAATTTTACGTGTTTATTTTCTCGTTAGAATCCATTATCAGAATAAGGAAGCAAGTAGAATCACTGATAGAGTTAGGCAAATGTATACAAAACTTGTAATTTTTAAGAACCAGTAGAATTAAAATCAGTTTTGCATCTAAATCCTAAATTTAAGTTTATCCGTTCACAATCCGATGTCCACAGGTAGGTACAGGTAAAATCACCTTTCAATGCTATTTGATAGGGAAAGGTGATAAATTTACCTGCACCTGTGGACATCGGATTGTGAACACGATATACATATAAGTATTTGTACCTTACAATCTACACCTTTTCCATGTGTAATTGCGAATATATCACTTAATTTTAGGAATAGTAAAATATTATTGCGAATAAATCAAATGTAATTGAGAATAGTCACTTGATATTGCGAATATATTAAATTTAATTGGGAAAAGTTAAATATAATTGCGAACACATCAAATGTAATTGAGAACAGTTAAGTGTAATTGCGAATATATCATATGTAATTGTGGATACAAATAATATTAGTAATAAATCAGATGTAATTGAGCCTTTTAATTTTTCATTCAACATCTGTATGTTGTTGCTAAAATAACTATGTTGTTGAAGAAAGCTTTTGTTTACATACATATAGGTAGTTTTGTGTCAGAGGAAGGCGACACCAAATGGAATTTCGCAATAATGGCAGCAAATATCCACTTAAGTTCCTCAACATTTTGTAGAGGGCGCGAGTGAACTTGGAGTGCTTCAAATTTTGGCAGTAAATGTCAATAGTTCTAAACCATTTAAATTGAGTAGAACGATGACTACAATATGAACAATGGACAATGAATAAGTTAAAATATCTTCCAAAGCATTCAGTGGCCCTTAGAGAATATTTTTAAAAGTGTCAGCGTCAGCTTATCTTGAAACCACACATCAGAATTAACTTTTGAGGTTAAAATTACAATCAATCATTTACGCGCCCTCTTCAACTCAACTGTCAATATTACATGCCATTGTGTTATATGCAGATCAACGATGACGAGAAAAAGTCGACAGAGAAAATATTCTCCTAATTATATTTGATTATTTCGCAATTATATTTCATATATTCCAAATTTCATTTGATTATCCCCAATTGCATCCGATATATTCCCAATTACACTTAAATTTTCTCAATTACATTTGATATATTCGCAATTACATTCAACTTTTCCCAATTACTTTTCAATATAAACGCAATATCACTTGACTACCTATTCGCAAAATCTATTGATGAATTCGCAATATAAATTGCTATATTCGCAATTACATGTGGAAAAGGTGTAGTATTTTGTGCCTTTGAATTTGCCCAAGAATTGTTTAGGAATAACAAGTTTTTTTATCTAACGTTTAAGTGTTGTTTTATTTTTTTGCCTCACAGGTCTGCACAAAACACATACATTTAAACACGTCTGGTATTTAGTTTTTAATGATACACTATGGATAACTTATTATGTATATGTCACCTTTAAATGAAATTATGTGTTATTTCTCGTTGTGGGTAATGCGCTTGTGTAGCTTCTTGCCCACAATGCGAAAGACTGGTTGCCTAACCATCTTTCCATCACTGCCGCGTACGGCAACTATACGGAACACGCAGTCCATTTCATACTCATGTCTCTGGTCTAGTCTCGTCTCGCGGCACCACTATTTGTAGGCACTTGATTGCGCAGCTTTTTCCCTATTTGGTCCACCTTGTATCTTCAATAGTTTTCAAAATCCCCATGTACCTACTTTAAGTTACCCACCCCCACCCTGTATAGTCACAAGTTTAACTAGATAACATACAAAATGGAATATGTTTTACCATAGTTTGTTCGATAATGTCTCACAAGTAGTCACACGCGGTACGCAGTATCTTTTGTTTAATTTTTCCAGAAGATCCGAGAAATTAATGGGACTAGTGAAAATTTTAGACCAAAGATATATAATTTAACGATGAATAAGATAAGATGAATAATAAGAAGTGAGATATTCAGAGGCATCGTAATACCGAAATAATTAATTTTTTTAGTAATGTCATGAGTGGAAATAAGTATTTCGAAAATAAATTTTCAAGTCAGTCACCGTATGTCCTTGAACGTTCAAAGAACCCTACATTTCTCAAAGCTTTATTGGTAAATATATTAGATAATTAAATGACGAGACATACATTGGTGCATTTGTTGACCGCATGAGGAGCAACTACAATAACCACTACGCAGAAATCGAATTGTTCTCATCTAGTCTCTACACGCTGTAGCAGGTTTTGTAGGCGTTCAATTTAGTTTTTTTTTAACTCTCTATGTTTTATGTTTCTTGGCATTGTTCTTGTTGTTTGTGTTACCTTCTATGTATTTAAACATTGACTAAGTTTAATTTTGATTTTATTTTTGTTTTATCCTACAGCATTTTAATTTTGTTGTACCATTTGGAGAATCTCTCGTTTTTTAGCCATAGTCATTTATCTTTGGCAGAAACAGAAAGAAGTTATCCCTGTGAAATTCCTCGAAAAACACATCAGCGAGGACGTCAGAGGAGTAATAATAGGAAACCCATAATTATTGTGAAACTGATGACCAAGTTGCTGCTGACCTACTATCAGGTCCATGTACTGTTTTAATTAAGATTGATCATTAATAATTGAAATTATTACTACGAAACAAGTCTAAAATCTATAAATAACGTTTGTGCTTCTTGCAAATACGTCGCAAACTATCAAAATATACGACATGTTTCAATTCCAAGTCGCACGACGCATGTTGCCATGTCGCAATTTTGCGACGCCACTCCGGTGTGAAACCAGTCATACATATATTTTTAAAGGTTCTGAAATAAGTAGAATGCTTCTTGCTTCCTAGCGGCAAGTCGCACGTCGCATGCCACTTTGGTGTGAATGCCCACTTAGGGATCACAATATATTACATTGACTGCCCGACCTTAACATTACTTTTCTCATCGCAATCGCATTATCCGTACAAAGGTATTTGAATTTTCCAAAACATATACATATAAATATATAATAACTCCTTTATTTAGTCATAAACTAATTCTTACAATTTTACAAATAGAAGCCGATTAAATACTTGCCGACATTCCGCCTTTAATGGTTGAAGGCTTCTACAGGACTAAAAAAAATTACTTCGTATTTATAACATTTATTTGCTAATCAAAAAGTTCATAATTCAGGATTTTTTGGGCTGAATATGTGCCACAAACAACATTAAACGAAAAATACAAGATATATCAAAAAAACACAAAACTGAGAAAAAACATTATATGGCAAGGGAAGGGTGAAACGTCAATTGACCTAAGACTAACTAATTTGTAAATTCAAAATAGCAACAAATATAAGTACAGCCATATAAGTTTAGATAAATACAAGACAGAAGATAAATCATTTAAGCAAATTCCAATAGATGAAAAGTGATTAGTGAAGACTAGTACAATAAATAATTCCAAATTATCCAAGCTAAAACTAATTGAATCAGAGTCACAGATTTATGGTTTCCTTCGTCATTTTCAGGTGCCTAAAAACTCTCTTTCTTCAAGACGTAAAACTATCTCAACGTGATTTTCAGTTTTCTGTAAATGGTCTTTAAGAACCTGATACATATATTTTGAACCAAACTTTTCGATCTTGTTTAATATCCTCTGAAACTTCTTCAGCCTTGCTTGTACGTCTTACTGTCTTATTTGCTCGGATTTTTGAAAACTCATTATAGAACTATTTAGTACTAGATGGTTCTTTACTAGTTGAATGTTGTGTGAACCATAAATTTTATTTGGCTTGTGGTTTGGAACCTTTAAAAAAAGAAAAATTTCAATTTTTTGGATCATATCGAGGGCATCAAGTTAGAGGGGCGTATAAACCATATTTTGCAAAACTGAGATAATGGGCGCAATAGGTTCCATTCAGTACTTAGCACGTTGGGTCAGACAGGCGTATGATTTAAACGAGACGATATCACGTAGTATTGAAATTATGTAAGGCATAGACGCCAAAAATGTGATTAGTATCGGATCGAATTTTGGGAAGTTTTTAATGTTTCCTGTAAAATTTACTAAATGGTTCTTACGCCGCTCTGACTTGAGGCCGTTGATATTATTTTGAAAAAAATCTAAGCCAATATAATATGGTGTAATCTATAGAAAATTTGTGGTTTGTTAATTTTCTCTGAACCAGATCTTCACTGGTACTGTATAATAGGTTAGTGGACAATTTTTTGAAATATTTTTTTTATTAATCTTCATAACAAAATAAACAATTGTTAATGATTCTTTTATTTTAAAAAACAAAAATATACGTAAAAAAAAATTAACAAATTTGTACTTATTTTAAACGCTATTATTTACCGCCAGGAAATTACGTCATAGCTGTTATGTATTGTTCGTCGATTTTTAACTTACACTTGCGGTATGAGGAGCGAGGGGGTGTTTCATATGGCAAAAACAGGTGTGACGTCAGGTAACCATTAAGGTTCTAATGTAGGGAGCCACCAGCTCACATTCCGTCCGAGTATCAGATTAAAATCGACGAACAATATGTCCAATAGTGCGTCCTTATATTTTACATGCTTTTAGAAAAAGATGCCGATAAACTCAGTGCCCACTGATTGACAAATAAAATTCTCTCAAAAAGTGGGGTTATGTTGAGGGTGCGCCTAAATGTAATATTACCCGAGAGACGATGATATATCTCTCTTTTTTGCACTAAAGAGTGAGTTTGTGTCGAATATCGGACGTAGGTTTTATTCCATTCATACAGCTATGAGGTAGAATCAGGGCGCGAAATATTTCCGTTCAAATAGTGCGTCCCAAAGCTCTACTTTTACCGCCGTTTTAAACAAGGTTAGTAATTTAATCTAAAATTTCTTTTGATACGAATATTTTTTATTTACTCCATAGATGAAGAATAGATCATCGATTTCATTGAAATTATACCTTGTCCACTACCCTATTGAGAAAATTGTCATGAAATTGAAAAAAATATATTTACCTTCTTTTCTCCCGACTTTCTCCTGGGGAAAAATTAGGTATATTCTTTTACATACATGGCAAACAATTTGACGATTTTTTCTCTCAAGGCAGTGCCTTCTTTTTATTCTGTTAAGCCCATTTTTTTCATATATTATTGGATTGGCACGACTCGCTATCACTTGGAAAAACTTCATCAGTTAATTCAGTCAAGTCAATGCTTATAACTTGGATAATTTTCCCTCGAAAAATTTCATGTAGTCTCAGTCTGAAAGAAAAAAGTAAAGATAAGAATTCAGGATGCTACTATGAATCCTTTTCAACAGCATCATCTGCCACTATTGAGTAACGATGCCTGTTTGGGGAAGTGAATACTCGGAATACCTACACATAGTAAAGTCCGCCACACAAAAAATAAAGGACGACGCCTGAAGGGGAAGAGGAAGCAAATGCAACAAAAACTCATAGCGACAGAATTCAAAAACTTAGCAAACTTACTAAAACGATCGAGAAATGATGAAGAGCCTGTTGACAAAGACAACAAATAATGCTGAGTTGTGTACAGGTCGGCCGTGTGACGGACTTTATCTACTCATAAAACCAGCAATACCTACTGGACTTGCTTTTAGCTCATATTATCTGGTTGCTGAACTGGACATAAATTGTTTGCTCATGTAAGTATATCATTTATTTATTATCGGCAGGGTATTTTAAGATAACAATGGAGCATACAATGTACAAAATACAAAAAATACATACCGTTGAGCAGGAGGGCTGCGGTTTCTACATCATTTAAAACAACGTTAATGCAGTTCTCCTCAAAATTGACAGATATTTCTCAAATAAATAGAACAAAATTTTAAAATTCAACTTCACTTAAACAGACCTTTCGCACCCGACTGTTATTTGAATTTTGGAGGGAATAATAAGCCAGCATTCAACGTGAGTGAATAACGAGTATTTAAATGTCCCCTAGTGACGTATGGATGACGCACCGAAGGGATAGTTAATGACTTTAGAGGAAATAAACAAAATCGCTTCAAAATAAATGGTTAATACTGTCTTTCGTTGTAATATGGTATGCAAATCATTGATATTTCATCTTCAATATCACAAACAATTGCATTTGTGACATCTTCCTATATTGTGCAGTTTTTAGCCTGGAGAAAGACAGAAATAGGAAGCAGAATAATATGTCTGCAAATGCAACAGAAAGAAGTTTTTTTTGTTTGTTTATATGCCCTTTACCCACAAATGACAACATTCTTTTAAGAGAAATGTTATGTTCAGAATATTTTCAAATAATATTTCTACCTTATTACTAAGTAACTACATTTATAATTTCGAAATCCATGCTTTCATAGGTACACACATGTAGACGACACACAAATATAAAAAGTAATTTGACAGTCCCTTTCTTGTTAAAAAAAAAAAACATTCATCCTCAATTCTAAATTCTTGTGTTAAGTGGCTCACCTGTATCTTCAATATCAACTCCATTATTTGAAAAACCATATTGATAACATTCTGCAACAATAACATTACAATCTTCAATAATTTTGATTAAAGTTTGAAACATCAAATCAATATCTTGATCCAATTCCATGATTAATCTATCAAGTTTATTTATAATAAGAATCATTTTTGCATGTTCCTCATAGGCTTTGCTGATAGACTCTCTGGTTTGTACACAAACACCTTCAACTGCATCAACTAAAATTAAAGCTCCATCAGAAACTCTCAAAGCTGCTCCCACTTCGGATGAAAAGTCAATGTGTCCTGGAGTGTCAATAAGATTTAATAAAATTTTCCGTGATTCATTTGAATCTTCATCTTGCACAATATTTAGCAATGATACAGCACTGCTTTTCATTGTAATGCCACGCTCCTGTTCATCTGGTCTATCATCTAGATAACGCAGAAATCCTGCCATTCTTTTACTTACAAGGCGATTTGTTGATAAAAGTAAATCAGCAATTGTTGTTTTGCCATGATCAACATGAGCTAATATGCACACATTTCGTATGCATTGGGGGTCTCTCATGCAGAATTTCAGTTCTTCTGCCGTTGGTTTTATAGATACCATGATCTAGAACAAATATAACACAATAATGATTATTCAATTTACAGGAGAGGATTACCAAATTCATTAATTCATCATTTTTGTCCTTAATACTTGATATGAGAAAGTTGAACAGATAATTCCTAATTAGGTATTTACTACAGCCCCATAACCTTACTGTGGGATTTTTTTAATTTCAGGGGATATCTTACCTTTTAAAATAGGCATAAATTTAATACAACAGGTTACAAACGTTGTACTAAAATTCTACCTTGCTTATAGTACCTTTGCAACCGATCTAGGATCTAGTTATCCTACATCTAGATTTTTTTTAAATAAGATAGGAGGTCTTTGAAAGAAATTGGAAGGTAGCTCAAAATAGTTGAAAAAAATAGTTCCAGGAAAGTTTTTGTAAAAAAACAACCCCAACCCCTACAAAAAAAAAGTTTTCCTCTTGCTTTTCCTTTAGATAATAATCTTTTTTAATATCATCATTAAATACCCATTAGTTTCAGTTTTTAGCGAGGTTTTTAGCCTCAAATTTTAGACAGGTGCAAGAGACTTACACATTCATAGGAACTTATTTTCCCAGTTGATGGATTTTATATCCCCCTCCACAAAATGTAAATGCCTAACCTTTTCAAGAATTGGGCTATCCAATGCAAAAATAGTTTTTCAAATCCGACTGGTAGTTCCAGAGAATAGCGCATTCAAACAAAAAGTCTAACTCTCCAGCTCAAAAATTAGGAATTAGGTAATTTGGTAATCCTGGCCTAAAAATCTAACATGCACTCATGTTGAAATGATTTATCGCTGATTTATTTATTGGTGTTATAAGTATTACTAGTAAATAATTTGAAAGAAGAGTGGAAATTCAAGTTTTCAGAAGGGTTATGTTAATACCTACAAATAGACTGGTAGATAGTGACAGATTTTTGGACAGGATTTCACCCAGTATGCGTTTTGGAGTGTATTACGGTATACATATTCTGTTAATAATAAATCATAGAGTAAACAGGCATCCTGGTTCCTTCATGTATTAAAGTTGCCATGAATGCACAATCTATACCATGTATACTTTTTTTTTTTTTTGAAAACGTTTATTAAGTAAGCAATAATTGTTATTTACACTACAATTCACATTAAATCCTTTAAACAGTGTATTAGAACACTGGTAACAAGGATAATTACGCCAGTTAATGTTTAACAGTTCTGCAATAGGAACAAAAAACTTATTCAGTAAAAAACTTAATTAGTAAAAATAATGGAAATGAGCACTAACACAACCCACTAATTGGAGGTTACGTATGCAAACTTTAATGGCCCTGGCTAAAGTAACAGAGGTGTTACTATAATTATTTTTTTAAAGTAACATCAATTTGTTGTCATTGATGAAAACGTTACTTTTAATAGGGGTTAATAGTAACGGAGGTGTTACTCTAATTATTTTCTTGAAGTAACGTCAATATAGCAATATGTAGATAGGTAATTACTTTCTTTAGCAATTTAAAGTAAAGGTGATATTCTTGGTTCTTGGCATTTGTTTTAGAGTAAAAATGGAAATAAATAAAAAATAACCTGACTTGACTTTGAAGAATAGAATAGAATACTTATAAAACAGGCACAATTATAGGCAAGGCAGGAAAGACACATTTTCTTATGACTGTCAGAAAGTGACAATTTGTTACCTTTTTTTCAGGTAGGAAAATAGTAATTTCGCCTTCCTATGGAGGAAAGTAGATTATTTTCCTTCCTAGGCAGAAGTCTTTTCGCTGTAGATTATCATAGTTTTAGCTCCAAATTAAGAAATTACCTATCTTCATTTGCTGAAAAAAAAAATGCTTGAAGTTGATGGCCATTATTTTATACCGCTAATGATTAAAAATGGAAAACTGAATTTTCACTCTGCACACTCATAAAAAGGTAAACAATCGAATTTCACCTGCAGGAGAGAACTATATCTACACTCCCGTTCCTTTGTAAGGGCATGTGAGGAATAGGAATATGGAGACGCCGTTTTTCTCACAAAAGATTTGTATTATCAATATGTTGATTCAAATTTTTGGTTTATAAAAAATAAAAATATTATTGTTATGTTGTTGAATATCACCTTTACTTAGTTTAAATTGCTAAAGAAAGTACCTACCTTTCTTTTCTTTATATGTATTGCTACTATATTGACGTTACTTCAAGAAAATAATTTAAGTAAACACTTCTGTTATTCTACTATAGCCCCTATTAAAAGTAACATCAGTGACGTCATTGAACTGATGTTACTTTAAAAAAATAATTATAGTAACACCTCTGTTACTTTAGCCACGGCCAACTTTAATTTAGCTTGTTCTACAAATTTCTTATATTTTGTTATATTCTTAATATTTTCTGGGAGAGAATCATAACTTTTTGACGCTTGGTATATTGGATTTTGCAAACCTTTATTACGTTTAATATTGGTGTGAAATATATTTTCTTTAGACCTAGTATTATGTTTGTGGATATCCCTTCTTAATGGCACCTGTTTAGAAACGCTGATAAATCGTTTTTTAAAATACAAGTACACCTGACTGTGATCATCGCTCACAGTATGCCTTCAATTGTCGCTTTTTACTTGCATTTTATTGTGGATTCATGGCAGCCTGGGTGAAATTGTATCAAAACGCTTGATTATTAATACCAGAATAGAATATGTATATGATAATAACTTCCAAAAGGCATACTGGGTAAAATCAAATCCGAAAATCTGTCACTATCTCTTGGTCTAAACTAAATAGGAAGTTCCACTGTAGTTCAGTACCTATTTATATGTAATAGATATGCGACATAAAGCTTTCTAATAGGTCGACGAATAATACAGTCCTAGTTACAAATATCAGCAGTTGGATATATTGCAACAACTACAATTTTATTTGAAAAATTCGAAAGCAGATGAATGTTTTTTAAAAATAAAAGTTCCCTAACCACATTGACTAACCTCCAATATTTAAACAGCTGACGATAGATATAACCCAAGAATTACAAGCAAAAAGAAGGAAGAAGCGCCGATACCACCGTGATATTGATTCTTGATCTAAAGACTGATTCTCAGAGTTGGTCGAAGAAAACTTCCACTAATAAATTACACTTTGTGCATATGATTATGAACAATAGAAGAAGATTTGACATTGAATGTTTTGAATTTTAAAAATCGGGCACTCCGGCACGTGCAATGTCATTTGGCTGAGATTTGTGCACTATCTCAAAGTGTGCGTTCCGGTATTTTGATTTGAGTTCTCCGAGCTTGAATTTACCGTTCCTTTATCAAAAAAGTGTGCTCGGTGCAGGCTCATTCGCGCTCGTTAATTTCGCTTCAGCACGCTCTGAGCCGCTTTTCATTGACGAATTTTAAGGTGCTCCACACCCGTAGCTCCACACTCTGGTGCTCCACACCCGTAGCTTCACACTCTGGTGCTCCAAACAAGTGTTGTTTCACTGGAACGCACCTTACTTTAAGAAAGCGTCGTGTTTTTGATGCACCCATAAAATTGTAGGTGCTTGAGAGGGCAGGGGACTGGGGAGAGAAATAACGAACAGTTCAGTTGCGCGAAACTCTGATGCACTGGAACGCCTATAAACAACCCGGGGTGCTCTAGAGCAGCTCAGGAGTGCTTAAAGTGCGTCACTGGAGAGCGACTCTGCACCTTGCGTAAAATACCGAACGCAAGCACAGTGGCGACAGTCTGTTTCCACAAAAATTACAAACCGGTCAGAGCGTTTTTGATTGGTCCAAATCGCCAAGTTTCCTGACTATTTTTAACCAATGAGATTCGCTCTAACTGGTTTGTGATTTCTGTAGAAACCAGACCTAATAGAGAGGTCCCGCCGCCATATTCTTCCTTACTTCTTGCTTATTTTAAATATAGGATTTAAATGTACTATGTATCTATCATAAAAAATTGAAAACAACTTATTTGATGACTATTATTAGGTAGGTACATCAAATACGGTTGTTTTCAAATTTTTATGATAGATCTCCATTTGAATCCTATATATGCACATTTATAATCAGCAAGTAGTAAGGAAGAATATGGCGGCGTTTTCCGTATGAATATAGGTCTGTTCTCACAGGAGTTTTTGGCCGTTTGCAAACTGTCAGAAGAAAGCATCGCCTATGTTTCCAATGCCTCGTTCCTAGATAAATCGGTAACTAGCTGGGTGAATACTTCTGATATTTTGCAAACTGTCAGAGACTCTTGGGAGAACAGAACTAATCAAAAATAGGACGGCAATAGGGAACTGTGATGAAATAACAATTATTAGATTTAGGGCGGGTATTATAAAACTGCTTTGACAGTTAACTTAAATTCAACTTTTTGAATTACATGTAATTCCAGAAGTTAACTTTAAGTTAACTCTCAAACTAGATTTATAATACCCGCCCTCAGGGTCAGTTGATGATGATAATACACACTACTAATACAGAGGATAGCCTATCCTCATAAGGCCTGTGTAGAACAAATGTATAGTCCCCCACCACGCCAAATCCCCAGTTGTGACGTAGACAGCATGTCGTTTCTCGCCTTGATGTAGGCTGTTTGCACTACAGGTTATGTTTTCGCTTGCTTTTGCTTTATGCATAGAGTAGAAATCAAACGAGAAGAAGCCACACGCGTTATCGCTTGTCTCACTTTAAATGGGAGGGACCCAGAGAAAAGGAAATCTGCTTTCTTTGTCAGCGCTGACGACAGTGGCTTCTTCTCGTTTGATTTTTACTCTACTTGGTGTTACAACGCTTTAACTACATTAATTAAAATTCCAAAACAACTCCTTTTTGGATCTTCTTTTCATCTTTCTCTTTGCCTATTATGTTAATCAAAATTAAATAATAATGGGTACATTGAGGCGGTGCCAGCGGCTTAGTTCAGTCACTCAGCAGGAGCAGGAACTTTATTCTCGAAACAGAGGAGTAGCGCTCTCATTGGAACGAAGTTTCTGTCTTTGTCGTCCGGCATAACACTGACAATGACAGAGCAATCCCACTAAGCAAGAAACATCTTTGCCGCGTTTAGAAACGTTAATTTAATGGAACTTAAATAACGATTTTCCTTTACATTTTAGGGCTGTAACAATTACGACTTTTTTTAACGTTGGAATAATTAACGTCTCTGTGAAGTTAATTTCATGCGTGGCTTTGTTACGTTGTAAAGGAAACATGCTAGTAACGGAGCAGTCGTGTCAATATAGAAACGTTTCATTTTTAACATCAAAACTATGTTCTTACATGAACATTTTTGTTACATTTACAGTGAACGTTTTAAAAACGGAAAAATCTTGTGGTTAAAAAATAACGTTGCCTTGTAAATATTCTTGAAACGTTTTACTGTGATAAAATGATGACGTTAGTTCAGGGTACAATGAGTTTGAAATCAGCGATGTTTATTTGAAATATCGCAACGACTGAAACAGACGTGAAAACAGAGCTGTTTATGTGCCATCGCATCGGTGATAAATAATGAGAGGTATTGGCTAAAAAAGAGAGGTTAAAGTTAACTAGTGAAAGTCGAAAGGAAAAAGCCACACCGCACGCCTGTACTGTCCTAATAACTTAGACAAAATTGAATTTTTGTGTCTTTAAAAGTGTCTCGAGTGATAATAATTATAAGGGAAAGCTGCTAGAAATCATGGAAAAGGTAAGCACATTTTTACTTATTATTTTTGATCCCCAAGCCCTAGGATTATTTGTAAATGCGTATTCTACAATGTATTCTGTTAATCAAATAACCATTGGGCTGGTACTTTTGCTGTTGCTTTAACAAAATGCGCATAACGGTCTAAGTACTAGCAGGGAGGTGATGCTGAGTGATGCATGTGTATTTCATTTATATTAGATAAAATCAGTTAAAGCTCACCCCCTGTGTTATTGTGCATCGTTCAGGGAATATGGATAATTAAAATAGGCTCCTCTAAAATATTTTGTCACAAATACATACAGCAAATACATCAACACACAATAATCTGAACAATTGATGTCACTAATAATTTTTCCAAGAGGTCTCGATTCCTCAAACGCAAACCATTAGGTGGTATGAGGGTGTCCAGAAATAAATGCAACAAAATTTGTTCAAACATTCTTTAAAAACTTTGATTTTTTTCAAAGATTCTTTAAAAATATTGTTATTTTTTATTGCTAGGAGCAGTTCAGAAAACTTTCAAAGCTACTGATAAACAGTTCGAAGCTACCAGATGGACTGGTTTCGCCACGGCTTCTCAGCGTTTGAAAAGGGAGCCCAATAATGAATAGAATACCTACTATATTATTACTTTTAATTATAAATCAGAAATAAAATGATTTGTCACAAAGATTATTATAGCTGTGTCTTACTTTTTATTTATATTTACAGGTCATCACCAATAAGTTGTAGTAGAAAAAGATTTTCGCCAAAAGGATAAGTACGGAAACAAATTCCTTTAGAACGTTGCCTAACTCAAAAATTGGAATTTTTGAGTTAACATAAAAACAGTTCAAACATATATTTTTATGTGGCTAAAACGTCACTAAAACGCTGTCGTGTTAATAGACAAATAGTACTGATGACGATTTTCCACATGGAATTATGAATAATGTCTGGAATGTTTTTATGTTAACTAAAAAATTCAAATTTTTGACCTAGGAGGTTCTTCCTAAATTGAACGACATATCAAAAACGTCCTAAGAACGTTATTTTCATAACGTTAATGCTCCGTTTAATGGTGTCGTTTTTATCAGCTAATTTAAAAACGTCGCAATAATGTTATTAATGAACGTTAATGTTATGTTTAGTGGCAACGTTTCTGTTACGAAAATGTTACGTTTTTGTGATGTTTTTTTGAACAGAACAGCAACGTCAGTTTTTTTAACGTACCTACTATAAAGTCCCGTTGCAGGACTTATAACGACTATGTGATGCAACTAGAACGCAAATGTTTCAGCTTGTATAACGTAACAATGAAACAGGCAAACATGATTTTAACGAAATTGGGATGTTTTTTTGCTTAGTGGGATCGTTCTTATGAGAACGCTGTTCCTTGGTTTCGAGAATAAAGTCCCTGCTGAGTGGCTGAGCTTAGCCGCTGGGACCGCCTGAATGTACCCAATGTTCTTCATAAATTTAAATTCTAAACTACGACCGCTAGTGCAGACATCTGACGACTTAACACTTTCAGTGCGGCCCTAGAAAAAGGCCATTTAGCAATGTGCGGATCATATCAGGCAAGGGCGAACCTCTTGTTATGTGCGGACAGAAATAAAAATCCCACCGTAATTGCGAAAACCGTTCTGGTACATTAGAACTCCATTCGCAGAAGACACACAAGCGCGTCGTCCGCAAGTAGTGGAGGCAACCTTGGACGCACATGTGCGTCTTCCGCAGCGAAAGTGTTAAGCCGCTTTCCAGCTGTGTGCTTCAAGCACGGTGCAGCACAGTGTTCTGTGTTTGAAACGCAAAAGTTAGCAGCTCTCGAAGCGCAGTACGGCTGGAACACGAACACGCGCTTGAAGCATTTGCGCACGCAAAAGCTCCATTGCGTGCTCAAAGCGTCAGCTGGAAAGCGGCTTTTGTCATGATGTCGGAAAGGGTGATACCTTAGACAAGGAAAGAGAGAGGACGCGTAACATCCTTTGCCTGCACTAGCAGCTGGTTGTGACCGATTGCCATGGCGACAATTTTTCATGGTGTCACTATGTGAATTTTACTTCAGACTAACATATTTGTGGTATTCAGCATGGTGGATTGCTAGCATATGGCTGCAAAACCCGCAGAGAAAAAAAAGTCGACGGGATTACATTTAACAAGCAAAAAACAATATGCTTTCTAGGTTATGTTAAGAAAAAAGCAGACATTTTTTGGTGGCAAACTGCTTCATTTACACCTACTGTGAGAGTCCCCTCTCTTTCCTTGTCTAAGGGCGGGTATTATAAAACTGCTTTGACAGTTAACTTGAAGTTAACTTTTTGATTTACATGTAATTCCAGAAGTTAACTTTAAGTTAACTCTCAAAGTAGTTTTATAATACCCGCCCTAAGGGTGACACACAAAGTGTTTGTTGCACCACGCATCTGTTCCCTGCAAATCGGGGGCGACTGAGCACCGGAGCGAGTAGCTCGAGTGCTTCAAACTCTTGAAAGGAATACAACTAATATGGCGGCGATAGTAGTGTGTATTATCCTTGCGGTTTATTCACCTTCTGATAAACTGTCAACTGTCAGGTATACAATCTGACGAATAAAAACGCAAATTGTAATCACATTGGTTATGTCCACTCATCCATCCGCCGACCAATAGAAAATATAATTATTATACAACGGTGAACTTCTCTTGTAGATAGTTTACCAGGGCTGCGTTCAGGAATGGCTACAGCCAAGCCAAAA